ATGAGAACTTCTTTAATTTACTACTTCTTCATTTATTCTTCATTTATTTTTAAATTCTTTCTTTACTTCTTTTTATTTTATCCTTCAGTGGTAGCTGACACCTTTATTTTATCAACCTTCTCCCACCCCATTTCTTACCACCTCCCATTTCATTACACACCCCTATCCCATTAACACTCCACTTCATGTTCCACCCCATATTCTCAAAATATAACATGTAACAAAGCCCACAGTCACTTAAGTAGACATTTCTCTGCCCAGGCCTTTTGTTCTGCTATGATATCTCTGGCTTAAGCAATTAGGATCAAGCAGAATTGTAACTGAGAACACTTAGTACAGGTTAAAACTACCATTGGGAGCTTGCGATTACACACCTCCTGGGTAAAACTGTATTAGTCAACACTAAGCTCAAAAGACGAAGCAAGACGGTGACACAAGCACAGAACACAAAAGTTTTTGACAATGCAATGGCGGTGAGGCTGCGTGCCGCCGATGCTCCCTGCTCAATACACATGAGCATTATAGTGAAACTCATTGAGCGCTAAGTGAAATCAGGTATCAATGTAAAATGAGCACTATAGCGAAATAGCTCTAGTGAAACAGCGTTAAGCGGAGGTTGCCTATATAAGGCTGGGGGTGTGGCTGGGGAGGCTGTCTAATGCAGAGTGCAGTCTGAGGCACCTTAGTGTGAGGGTATGTAGGGGATCTTTGGGGTAGAGGCAGCATGGGGTAAAATCATTACCGAAGTCAATTAGGGTTACCAACCCAAGATTTTTTTTTTAACTGAAAATCTTCAAACTTTTTACCATAGTTTGAACCCAGTCCTTGTCTAGGGTCTGGCAGAAGGGTTATATTTACATTATGTAAAAAATATGTCAGTAAAAAAGTTTGGTCATCAGTAAAAACTTTGCAGATTGTCAGTAAAAAAACTTTTTCTTGCGTTGGCAACCCTGTGTGGAATGCAGATGCAGAAGAAACTTAAAAGGCTCACAAAATAAATAGGCTTGTATTTATCATTTTAATAAAGTTAAGACAGCACAACATTAAGGACAAACAGTAAATCTGCATGCCTTTTCAAACTTTATAGTAAAAACCAAACTCTTTAATAGTATATTGAGAATGTGTCATTTGTAGGCAAAAGTAGCAATCCTATAAACAAATATAACAGTTCAATTACTAATATAATCATGGAAATGTTGGCACAGCTCACATTTTCCTTGTGGCTTTTCTAATCAGAATCTAAGAAGATCCACAACTTCTCATTCTGAACTTTCACTGTGATCTTCATGAACTTAATTAATTTGAAGACTTGATTAACTGAACCAAGATTCTCAACTCTTTTACTTGTTAGCTTGTTTCCTGATTTTTTCATGCATATTTCCAAACACTGACCACTTTGGGTATGGACAACTGTACATTTGTAGTGGCTTCAAAAGGGGAGAAAGAGCAGCTGCTCAAAAACATGCAGCAGCTGTTACACCATGGCTGTTCCCTTCACTTGAGCCTATCATAGTACAAGTATATAAAAGTCACTCCAACTTTAACCCTACTTCATTCAGAATCAAAATTGGGGCAATTTAGCTTACCAGTACTACTATAGGATCATGCATATGTAACAATTACACAGGGGTGGAGGGCCACTTAATGAGTTTTGGTGAGCTGTCAAGGGCCACACATACAAAAACTTTCAGAAGTTATCATTTTAACAAATTATAGATAAAAAATCATATACTAAAAATCAAACATCTACTATATTTTAATTTTGTTTTTAAAATATTCTTGTCCTGATTTATGTTTTTAGTAGTGTACATAGAGGGAATTGCATAATAGCTCAAAATAAAGTCTTATTCTTGTATTTTGTATGGGGGTGGGTATGGCGGGGAGTGGGGATATGTGTGTGGGAGGGTGCTATTCCTGCCCTAGGTCCCTGGAGCCAGCAGAGGTGGAGGAAGGGGAGGGCAGGGGTCACATGCAGCAGAGCTCACCTGGGTGGTATGGTGCAGGTGCAGTCTACTTGCCTGCCCCCCCCCTTCCCCCCTGCAACTGCCCATGCAGCACTCCATATGGGGTCGAACTCCACCTAGGGTAGCCTGTGCCCTGCTCCCACCTGTGCTAACCAGACAGTAGCACCCTGGCTCAGGCAGCATGCACAGCTTCCCGGCAGAGCTGCTGCTATAGCCGCACAAGTACTGCTTGGCTCCCCCTGCCTCCAGAGGTTCCTTCTCCTGCCCCTGCTGTGCCACTCTGGACAGGGAGGAAGCTGCAGGTGAGTGACTTCTGCCCCAACACACAGGACTCCAACTCCCAGCTGCTTTCCACCCACTCAGCCCACCCAGCGCAATAAGCAGCCACATGTGGGTGGCCAAGTGGGTGGAAGGTGGCCAGGAGCTGGAGCCTCATGTGCTGGGGCCTGAGATGCCTGGCTGCAGCTTCCCCCCTGCCTGGCCAGAGCAGTGTAGCAGCACAGGAGAAGGAGCTGCTGGAGGCTGGGGGAGTTGAAGAGTACCAGGGTAGCTGCAGACACACTGAGAGCAGTGTCGCTGGGAAGCTGTGCACGCTGGCTAGGGCTGTGGTGGGAGTGGGTGGGAGGAGGGGGCATCCACAAGCCAGATCCAATCAATTAGGCTAGGGACAGAAATTACACATAAACCAATTTAACTGATCAGAAACTGTTTTAAACTTGTAACAGAACAGATGTTCAGTGCACATTAACCAGTTTGAAAATGGCTGAAACTGGTTTGCGATAAACCTGGTTGAACATAGCATCAGACTTAACTGATTTGGCTCAAACTGGTTTATGCAATGTCTGTCCCAGGCCCCTTGCTGGTTTAAGATAAACCAGACACCCTCAGCATCCCGGCATGTTCTCTGGGCTAGGAAGGCCTCTCTGCTCCACAGCAGGGCTGGCCCCTCCCCTCTGCTCCCTGGCTGCAGCTCTGGCAGGGACTGCAGACTGCTCACCCCTCTCCCCCTCACCAGTCCCTGCTAAGCAGGAATTCCCCCCTCCCCTCTGCCTTGTGGAGAGGTGTCTGTGTATTAGCTAGCAAACCATATGCTGGCTAGTGGCTGCAGTCTGTGCTGAATCAACAGGTAGAATCAACAGGTAGCCGGTAATGTCCCTCTGTTGTTTTCTTAATGGGGGGATAAACAGTGAGTAAGGGGTGATAAACACTATCAATTCCCTGCTGGGCTAACAGAGCATCTTGCAGGGGCCAGGCCATATCCCCCCGCCTCAACTCCATGCTGTGAAAGGGAAGGGAGGGCTGCTCTAGCACCGCCCAGTTTCTAGCCAGAGCCACTTCAGGCATGTGCCTGCATTTCTGGGATGTCTGTACGGTTACAAAGTGATTTAGCCTAACCAGGTTAGACTAACCTGCAAAGATTGAATCAATTCAGGCTCAGGCATTTTGAATGCTGTCTCCAGCCTTAGTGGGTGTCTGCCCATGAGCTGCATCCAATCAGTTGGTGAGCTGGATGCAGCCTGCAGGCTGTATTTTGCCTTCCCCTGAGTTACCATGTAACAGCAGCTCTTCTTCCCCTCTGGAAGCCACTACAGCTGTATCTTTGTTCATGCCCTTTCTTTCGTGTGCTGCAGAAGACAGAGAAATCTGAAGCAAATGAGAGACAAGAATCAGAGGCTGTGTTGTTACAAAAGCCTTGCTGCTGGTTGTTGGAGCAATATGCTTGGCAGAGTCCAGACTGCATTTCAGAACAACCTGAAATTCTGCAAACTTTGAAAGTACTTTTCCAACATCTAGTTCGAACTGTGTCATGATTCCTTGTTACCATGTTATTATTATCATGCTTTTCTTCTTACTTTTTCTTAAAGACTGCAACTAAAATATGAATCATTTCAATAAATTCCATTATTACTTTTGCTATTGGATAGAGCATTCCAAGTATTTTTAATTTAATGAAATCATAAAGGAATAAGTTTGGGCTATGGGAAGTGCATCCTATTGCAACAATACAAAAGGCTATTTGCCCATTATAATGTCCCATGCTTCTTTCATATTACTGGACTTGGCTGTCTGTCACCAGAGCAAATTCTTTTTCACTTTTAATTTTCTCTAGTACTTCATATATTTCACTACTGACAACTTGCAAAAAGATGTCTAAGGTAGTTATTACAAAGGTGATGATTCCTTCCCTTTGTTTATCTGTCCACCCATCTGCAACTACTGCCAGGGAAAGTGCTCTGTTGTTGATTTTTTTCTTTTGGTTTGCTTTACAATTGCATATTCTGATTGTAGAAGGGGCTTGCTTAAAACATGTCTAAATGGTGAGGATTGGAGGCAGGATCCATTCCAGTCCCTCAAGATTTTTTCTACACACACAGACCCACTTGCTCTTTGCCCCAGTAACTCTATACAAGAATGCAGGCAAGCATGAAGGTAGGTAGAAGACTTCCCTTGTAGGACAGATGGTATCAACCTATCAGTCAACTGAGGAGAGACAGTAAGTCTGACATGAGCAAACTGTTTCCTGAGGCTGCTTAAATCTAGCAGTTACTTCTCCCTTCCTTTTTATATCATCTCCATTTCACACTGCTCTGCCAGGACTGAAGTTGACAGCAACAAGCAGCCAAGAACCCATAAGAAAGGGTGCTCTGTTTTGCAATATTGCCAGTGAAGGGCAATGAAAATGGTTAGGGGCTGGAGCACATGCCTTATGAGGAGAGGCTGAGGGCACTGGGCTTATTTAGCCTGGAGAAATGAAGGCTGAGAGGGGATTTAATAGCAGCCTTCAATTACCTGAAGGGTGGTTACAAGGGGAATGGAGCTGGACTGTTCTCACTGGTGGCAAATAACAGAACAAGGAGCAATGGTCTTGAGTTGCTGCAAGAAAAGTTTAGGTTAGATATTGGAACAATGTTCTCACTAGGAGGGTTGTAACGCATTGGAACAGGTTACCCAGAGAGATGATGAAATCTCCATCCTTGGAGGTGTTTAAGACCTGGGTAAACAAAGCTTTGGCTAGGATGATCTAGTTGGGGATGGTCCTGCTTGGAGCAACGGGTTGGACTAGATGACTTCCTGAAGTCCCTTCCAACCCTAATTTTCTATGATTCCATGATTCTGTTAGTTATTAAAAGTGTTTTAAAGTACTCAAATGAACCAATAATAAGAGCATTTTAAACATTACTCATAGACTTTTCATTCTTCCCTTTTTCATAGAAGACCTCAGGAAAAACAATTCTGAAAGTTTTATATTTTCCTGGAAAATGAAAGAAATTGCCAAATGTGGATCTGGGGAGTCATAGCCTACTGTACTGGAGCATTTCAAATCCAAATACATGACTCCTCCCACATGATGGCCCAAGCCCTCTTAAGAGTTTCACAGAGCTGGGTTCTGGAATGCTACACGCAGAGCTGCTCATAATGTAGACTACAGCCTTGCATTTGAAATAGGCATAGGAAACATATGAAGCACATGCCATCACTCAAACACACCTAAAACTAGAGCAGAAAAACCTCTGCAGAACAGACCAATGGTGACTCTCATGACTTAATCTAGGGGTGCTCAACCCCTAGTCCACTGGCCAGATCCAACCTCCAGTGCCTTGTCATCTGGTCCACAGGGCTCCCCCTAGCCCACAGGCCTTGGCCCTGTTCACTAGGTCCAGTGCACAGTCCAATCACAGCATGTGGGAGTGGCACCTAGAGCCCAATCCCAGCTCATGGGACTGGGTGGAGCCAGTGCAGGGCTCTGGACCCCAATCACCACATGTAGGATAGGGCAGAGGTAGTGCAGGACCCCAGGGCCAAACCCTGCCACTTGGGGTCTGATCTGGTCTGTAGGTCAGCCCCACACCTCTCATTTGGCCCGTGGAGCCAAAAAGTTGAGCACTACTGACATAATCACATGGGGATGGCTGTGACCTCCTCTCCCCTGGCTTTTTTCCACAGCAGTTTCTATGATTTGAGGTTTGACAACTGGAGTGGGATGGGGTGGAAGAGGAGGTTGTAAACAGACATGAAACATTTTTTATGAAGTAAGCATTGTGCAGAAAACTCAGTATTTTTTAGTGACCGGGTTACCGAGGGTAGAAACAGACATCGCTTGACATCATATTTGTGCTGCCATAGAAATTTTTATGGTGGTACAAGTGGTGAGCAAATAGACATTCCTACCCCTTATCATGCCTCATGAGAGACCAATCAGTGGTGGAACAAAAGGTAGAAATTAGGTCTGTGGCTTGTACTTTCCAGCCACCCCAGGCAAGTGCTCTGGGCTCTTGAGGGTCCCACACCTGTGCACTCTGGGAATTCCCATGCAGTGTCAAGCCCTGCAAGCCCCCAGGGCACCTACCCAGCTTGCACCATTTAAAGAGAAGCACCCCAGTTATCTCCTCCTGATTAATTCTTGTTTTGCCTCAGTTGTTCCTTTGAACTTCCACAGCCAACTCTTCAAAAACTTTGTTTTTCCCAGTTGTTAATCATTTTCCTGATATGTTCCAACTCAATAGAGATTGATAATCTCCTGTTACTAAGTAAGGTAATTCAGTCAAAATTGGGACTTTTTGATAACCAACAGTGAACAGTGTGATTAACAGAATCTTCCTGTTAGTTATTGCTTGAGTTTTTTAAATCAATTTCAAAAATGCTTTGAAGATGCTAAGCTAAAGAGTATAAAAAGGAATGAGATACCTAACAAGGCACACATTTCAAGAGTGCAAAATAATTCGGACAAGAACTGCTACTGTGCCCAGCTGATCTTCTGGTGAACGGATCCATGCCTCGAGAAGCTGAAAAGACTGAGACCACCTCTTTGCCTGTATTGGTGAGATACTATCACTTTTACAAGAAAATATACTGAGCTTTGCTTTAGGATCATTTAATAGTAAATAGTGTAGTAAATAAAGCCTGTTTGTCATTTATCGACTGAGTTGTCATGTCAATCATTTATACACTAGTCCTGAATCCCATTTAATAACATGCAAGGGCAAGTTTTTCAGTGTCCAGGAAGGCAACATCACACTGAATATGTAAAGCTGAGGACAGGATGCAAAGAAACCAAATAAGATACTTGATTACAATTCAGGAGACAGACGAAGCCCTGCTCTGAGTCAGCAAGAGAGAGAACTGCATGCTGCAGAACTGAAGATGTAAGTCACAAGACAGAAGAGGTAAGAAAGCCATCATAAGCTCCTTAGGTGTTGTCTGCAGGAAGCCCTCTGGAAACAGGGAGTGCTGGAAGAATTGTGCTTTGAGCACCTGCCATTTTGTTTTCTTCTTACATCATGCAGTTCTTATTCATCCAACATGTGAACATATGAAACTGGAAAGACACCTTTCCTGTGAGGCTGCCCTTCAATCCATCCATTCTGTGAAGAAAAAGAGAGGAAAGAGAAGGCTACTGAACTCTAGTGCTTAGGTTAGGTTTCCACACAAAAGGGGAAGGAAGGGGAAAAGTCACTGCAAGTTGTTCCCAAACCAGTTCCACCAGCCAATTTCCATACTAGGCAAGTCTAATACAAAGATACAAAAATACAAAGTCATACAGCAGGGACTGACATGGACTGTGGGGGATAATGAACTGTCTACAGTTCTGATGAGACCATTTCTGGCCACTATAATTATTCATGTTTTATTGAGGCTGCAGAAAAACTGAAAAGCTTCAGAGAAAAGGTACAAGACTGATCTAAGATCTGGAACACCTGTGTACCAGTGAGATGCTAAAGAAGTGTAATCTACTTCGCTTACTACAAAAAGTTATAGGTTCAAGTGCTTTGCTAAAATTTAAACTCACTGCTCTGTGTTCTGCCCTCCATAGAAAAAAAACCTGCTTTTCTTCCTATTCTTTATGGTAGCCTTTCAAATATTTGAAAACTGTTCTCTTGTCTCTCCTTCCCTTCCCTTCCCCTCCCTCCTCCTAATAGTGTTTTATGCCAAACTTAATGTACTTAAGTCTCTCAACCTTTTTTAGTATGGCTTGCATTTGAAACTTTTGTCATCTTTGTCACTCACCTCTAGATCCTCTCCAGTTTCTCAACTTCCTTCTTAAATTGCAGAGGCCAGAACTGCTCACAGTACTATGGCAGAGGCCTAAACAGTGCTGGGTAGTCATATAGCGCCTCCTGTTTTACATACTGTTAAAGCAGCCCTACATTGTATTTGCTTTTTTGGTGGCCATGCCGCATGGCTGGCTCATGCTGAGTCTGCCATCCACCAAAACTCCCAAGTCCTTCTCAGAAATGCTACTGCTTAGACAGTCATCTCCCATTCTGTATTTGTGCATTTGCTTTTTCTTCTCTCAGTGTAGCACCTTACACTTGTCCTTGTTGAATTTCATTCCTGTCTTCCCAAGTCTTTCCCAGCTCTCCATTTTTGTCATCTGCCAACCTGATATGAAAGCTCTCTATTTCTATATCCAAATTATGAATAAAGATATTAAACGATACTGGTTCCACAACACACTCCTGTGGAAACATTATAACCATTTATAGTTAGCTTCTGGTTATACAGCCAGTTATCTATCCACTTCTATCTAACCTACATTTCTCTATTTTATTTTTGAGACTGTCATGAAGGACTGTATCAAAAGCTTTATTGAAGTCCAAGTATATTTCGTCCATTGCATTTCCCTTGTTCACCAAACTAGTTATCCTGTCAAAAGAGAAAATCAAACTGGCTTAACATTATTTGTTCTTTACAAAGCTGGGTTAGCTGTTAGAGATTACCCCATCCTCCTCCTAATGTTTATAAATTCACTTTGGTTATCATTCATTTTGGTAACTTCCCAGGTATTAGAGTCAGGCTAACTTAGTCTGTAAATCCCTGCATCCTCCTTTTCCTCCCTTTTTAAAAATGGTTGCTATGTTAGCCTGTGTTCAGCCTCTGGATTCTTGCCTGTCATCCATTACTGCAAATACTGTTACTTGGGGCTCTGAGATTTCTTCGGTGCGTTCCTTCAGCAGCCTAGGATGAATTTTCATCAGGCCCTGCTAACCAATTCATTCAGGTTTATCAAGAGTTTTCAGACATTCTCTTTACTTATCTTGTCCTGCAGCCCTTCTCCTTCTTTGTATTATTTTTTTTTTTTAACTATTTGGTCACTTGTGAAGTCTGAGGCAAAGTAGTCATTCAGCAGCTCTGCTTTCTTTGTGTCTTCTGTTAATTCAGGGGTTTTCAACCTTTTTTAACAAGTGTACCCTTTCTCTCTCCAGCTCAGGGACCCCTTTATATTTTTTTCTTGTTTTTAAGGGGTGGGGGTGAGGGCAAATTGAGGCCATTGCAGTGAGGGAGGGAGTGGGGATGGGGTTGCACAGCCCAAGCAAAGCGTGGGACAGAGCTGCAAACGGCTCATCTGGGAGGCGCAGGGAGGGGGTGGCAGCTCCCCAGGAGGGCACGGGGATGTGTGCCCCTAGATCTGCACGCGGGGCAAAGGGAGGCTGGCCCAGCAGTGGGGGAGTGGGGCTGGGGTGGGGGCAGGGGCTGCCCAGCCAGGGTGGGGCACAGGACTAAGCCGTGCAAGGGGCAGCTCCCGCAGTTATGTGCACCCCCAGAAGGGCATGGGGGCATGTGCTCCCAGCCCTACGTGGGGAAGGGTGGGATGCAACTCAGGGCTGGGGCCAACACCAGGTTGCTTGTGGTGGGGGCTGGGCCACACTGTGCTCGATGTGGGTGGTGGCGGCGGCAGCATTGGGAGAGGGCTATGGTGGGGTACAGTGAATTCTGAAGTGGCTGCAGCCCCCCCCCCATAGCCCTCTCCCAGCATTGCCACCCCCCACCCTGAGCACAGCCCAGCCCAGCCCCCATCAGAAAGGGCCAAGAGCAGCCCAATCCCCAGCCTGCACCAGCATCCCAGTGAACAGGGACCGCCAACAGGGGAGCAGTTTGCAGGCAGTTGCTGGAAGCAAGAGGAGGGAGGAAGAAGAAGGAAAGAAGCCAGGCCAGACACCAGATCCTGCCCAGGAAAGGTAAGTGATCCAGCTGCCTGTACCTTTGGTTTAGCTGACTGGTTGGTTGGTTGGTTGGTTGGTTGGGCGGGGTGGGGGTGCTCTGAGAAGCTTGGAATGAGCGCTCACTGCTGGGTAAGTGTTGATTGTTGATTGCTGTGGGATTGCTGATTGCTGTGCAATTGCTGCCTGGGCCTGAGTCAGCCCAGGCCCAAAAGGACTCCCCAGGTGACCAGGGAGCCAGCGAACATGGATTATCAACAGGAGAGCAGTCCTCAGGCCAGTTTGCGGGTAGGAGTACGCACCATGTAGGAGTACACGGGAACTTCTGACAAAGACTTCAGGTAAGTGAATGAGGAAGGGTCTACTATGGGGGTGGTGACACGGAGCGCAGCCAGGAATCCTGCCCTGCTGCTGCCTCTGGCCCCGAGCTCCACCCAGACAGGCCCCTTGGATGGGTCAGCAGTGCCCTGGCCCTGTCTGCAGGGGCTGCCTGGCGGGACCTCTGAAGCCTGGGGGTAGTGTGGGGGCTGGGGGTTCCTTTGCCTGTCCCACTTGTTCCTGGATTGAGGCCCTGGAGGGGCAGGTGAGGGAACTCCAGGCAGAGGTGAGCGGGCTGCGGGGGATCAGGGCTACAGAGGATGAGACTGATGGATACTTTCATTCTCTATGGGACCAGACACCTAGCACAGAGACAACATGGGAGAGTCCCAGAACAGCTGAATGGAGGATGGTTGCCTCCAGAGCTAGACAGCATGAGGCTATGACTGTTTCCCCAACGCAACTGGGGAACAGATACGAAGCCCTGGCAGCACTGGAGGATGATGCAGCAGAGGAAGCTGCAGGGGAAGACACGTCCACAAAAAACACCAGGCAGGCTGAGCCAGGTAGGCAGGCAGGTTGAGCGACAACCAAGCAGCCGGAAGAAGAGACGCCAAGTCCTCGTCTATGTGGGCACGAATGATGTGGCCAGGAACACTACAGACCACATCATGAGTGACTACAGGGCTCTGGGGGCCAGGCTTAGTAAATCAGGGGCACAGGTGGTCTTCTCGTCCATCCTTCTGGTCAGTGGTTGCCATCAACATCAAGACGCCTGCATCAGGGAAGACAACCTGCGGCTCCAGTTGGTGTTGTTGCCATCATGCGGGTTTTGGCTTCTACAACCATGATCCACATTTCCATGAGAGAGACATCCTGGGACAAGATGATCTTCATCTCTCTTCTAAAGGTAAGAGTCTGTTCTCTTACAGGTTGGCTGATCTCCAAAGGGATTTAAACTAGGTTCATCAGGGGATGGGAAAGCAGCAGATAAGGAGAACCTAGGATCAGCGAGCCATGACTAATGCTCTGGATCAGTCCAGGTAAGCACTAAGGTAAGCACTAAGGGGCTCAATAGACATCAGGACAAGGGGGTACCAAGGGCACCCATCAGGAGGGCTTAAATGTCTTTACACTAATGCTAGGAGCATGGGGAACAAGCAGACGGAACTTGCACTCCTGTTTGCAAACAACAACTTTGACCTGGTTAGACTAACTGAAACCTGGTGGGACCCTACTCACGATTGGGCAGTAGGCACTGAGGGTTACAGGTTGTACAGATGGGATAGAGTGGGAAAAAGTAGGGGGGGGTGTCGCTCTCTATGTTAAGGAACAATATACATCCTCTATAATCAAGGTGGGACCAGAGGAGGGCCAAACCGAGGTACTGTGGGTCAGGATAGAAGGGGTCCGTGGGGTGGAAAGGGACTTGGCAGTGGGAGTCTACTATAAACCACCACACCAGGAGGATGAGCTAGACCTGGAATTCTCCAGACAGCTCTCAGAGGCCGTACGAGATATGGTTGTCATGGGTGACCTAAACTACCCTGACATCTGCTGGGAGAAGCAGTCAGCCAAAACTAACCGCTCACGTAAGTTCTTAACTTGTATACAAGACCTCCACCTAATTCAGGAGGTATATGATCCCACTAGGGGAAATGCCTTGCTGGACTTGGTGTTAGCTACAGGGGATGACCTGGTGGGGGATCTGCAGATACAAGGTAACCTAGGGGATAGTGACCATCAATTGATTGAATTCACTATCCAGAGAAGAGTGGGTAAACTAACCAGCAGGGCTGAAGTGCTAGACTTCAGAAAGGCTAACTTCAGTGTGCTCAGTAGATTAGTTGGTGAGACGTTAAAGCTCAAGAGCATTGGTGAAATGGGGGTCCAGGAAGGGTGGTTGTTCCTCAAGGGAGCAATCCTACGGGCGCAAAAGGAGATAATCCCCTTGCACATAAAATGGGGCAAAGGGGCCAAGAAGCCCTCTTGGCTGAACAGGGAAGTCCAGGAAAGCCTAAGGGCAAAGAAAGAGGTATACAGGCTGTGGAAACAGGGGGTAGCTACCAAGGAGGAGTATACCTCCCCGGCTCACACTTGCAGGGAATCAGTTAGGAAGGCCAAAGCAGGATCAGAACTTAGGCTGGCGACAAAAATTAACAAAAAGTCCTTCTTCAGGTATATAACGAGCAAAAGGAAGGCATGGGATAGCACAGGACCCCTACAGGACAAACTAGGGCAATCAGTGACAGAGAGTGGGGACAAAGCTGAGCTCTTCAACGAGTTCTTTGCATCTGTATTCCTAGACACAGACCAATACAAATCTCCCAATTGGATCGTAAATAGACACAGGAGGGGCACCAGCCCACCAACTGTCAGCGCAGACTTAGTGCAGGGGCACTTGGAGGGGCTGGATGTCTTCAAATCAGTGGGCCCGGATGAACGTCATCCAAGGGTGCTGAATTAATTGGACAGTGTCACAGCAGAGCTGCTGGCATGGCTGTTCAAGCACTCATGGTGCTCTGGTCAGGTCCCAGAGGGCTGGGAAGGGCCAATGTGGTCCCTATTTTCAAGAAGGGGAGGTGGGAGGAACTGGGAAACTATAGGCCAGTTAGTTACACCTCTATCCTTGGGAAAACTCTGGAAAAAATCATTAAGGGTCACATTTGTGGGAGCCCAGCAGGGGAAATAATGCTGAAAGGAAATCATCACAGATTCACTGAAGGTAGATCCTGCCTGACTAACCTTGTTTCTTTTTATGACCAGGTCACAAAATGCTTAGGCACAGGAGTTGAGGAAGATGTCATCTACCTGAGCTTTAAGAAGGTCTTGGGTACAGTATCTCATTCTGTTCTCATAAATACGTTGACAGGCTGTGATATAGATGATTACATGGTCAGGTGGGTGGCAAATTAGCTTAGGGGGGTCACACGTGGAGAGCATCTTGTCCAAATCTGCAGATGATACCAAATTATGGGGCAAAGTTAACACACCAGAGGGTAGGGAACAGATCCAGGCAGATCAGGACAGGTTGGAGAAATGGGCAGAACGAAATAGGATGCAGTTCAACAAACACAAGTGCAAAGTGCTGCATCCAGGCAAAAAGAATCACCAACACACTTACAGGCTGGGGAATGATCTTCTCAGCAGCACAGCAGTGGAAAGGGATCTTGGAGTCATAGTTGACTCCAAAATGAACACGAGTCATCAATGTGATGAAGTGATCAACAAGGCTAACTGCACTTTATCTTGCATTAGCAAATGCATGACAAACAGGTCCAGGGAGGTGATGCTTCCCCTCTATGCAGCACTGGTCAGGCCGCAGTTGGGAGTACTGTGTCCAGTTTTAGGCACCACACTTCAAGAGGGATGTGGAGAATCTTGAGAGGGTCCAGTGGAGGGCCAGTCATATGGTCAGAGGCCTGCAGGCAAGGCCCTACGAGGAGAGACTGAGGGACCTAGATCCCTTCAGCCTTCGCAAGAGAAGGCTGAGAGGTGATCTTATGGCTGCCTTTAAATTCATCAAGGGAGGGCAGAAGGGAATAGGAGATGCTCCATTTACTAGGGCACCCTCTGGAGTAACTAGGAACAATGGCCACAGATTGACGGAGAGCAGATTTAGGTTGGACATTAGAAAGAACTTCACAGTAAGGGTTGCCAGAATCTGAAATGGGCTTCCAAGGGAGGTGGTGCTCTCCCCTAACCTGGGGGTCTTCAAGAGGAGACTGGACAAGCACCTAGCTGGGGCCATCTCATAATTTGAATATGCTCTCATAATCTGGAGCACACTTCGTGAGACACTGTGAGGGTTCTACCACAGTAGAACAGCTTCTTGTTGAGCTTATACTACAGGTCAGGGGTGGGCAACTATTTGTGCTGGCAGGCCACTTAATGAGATCTGGTGACCTGTCAAGGACCACATACTTCTCTCTCTCCCTCTCTCTCTCCATTTCTTCATCCCTACTTCCTGGGGCAGAAGCCTGAACCAGCCTGCAACAATACCACACCGCCCACGCCCCCCCACACCCCCTCCCCAGCAGCAGTCCACCTGCTCACAGGTTTAGCGTACATGCCCTGCCCACCCCACCCCACCCCCAAGTCCAGACCTGGCAGCTGTTGGCCATGCCCACAGCTGCCCAAACACAGCTGGCAGCTTCTGGGTCAGGGCTCCAGGAGTGGGGGGCGGGGGGGTAGGGAGGAAGCATGCTACAGCTGTGGGCTGCAACTAGCACAATATCCTGAACTCACTCACAGGTGTATCATGCCCTGGCTATGTTTCTGGAGTTGTGGATGTGGCTGGCAGCTGCTGGGTCTGGATAGCAGGGGCCAGGGGGGAGCTATAAACAGGTTTATGCTTCCACTTCTGCACTGGTGGCAGCCCCAGCCAGGAGAAAGAGAGAGAGGGAAAGACCCCAACACACTGGAAGCAGCTTCAGTTACTTGGCACCATGCAGCTGCCCAGCACCGCACAGCTGCCAGAACCATCACCCATCCATGGGCCGGATCCATTCTCTTGGTGGGCTGGATCTGGCCCACAGGCCTTATTTTGCCCACCTGTTTAAGGTACTGCCAGTCCTTCTAGACCCTTTTATCTTTCAGTCTATCTACCTGTAGAATTTTACCTACTGTTTCTTTCAGTTGGTGGAAATATACTACCCTTCTTTTGCTAAGCTTCTGCTTTCCCTTTCTTGGAGTCATGTATTCTATCATACTGTGATTGCTTCCTCCCAAATTCTGTGTGTCCATAGATTATAGGACTAGGAGTAATGGCCTCAAGCTGCAGCAGAGGAAATTTAGCTTGAGGATTAGAAGGAACTTTCTGACTCTGAGGGTAGCCAAGAATTGGAACAGACTACCTAAAGAAAATGTGGAATCTCCATCCTTGGAAATTTTCACAAGCCAGTTGGACAGACACTTGGCTGAGATGGTTTAGTCGGGAATGTTTTTGTCTTAAGCATGGGGCTGGACTAGATGACCTTATGAGGTCCATTCCAATCCTGCTTGTCTATCATCCTAAATTTCCTGTCACCTTCATGTTCACAAACAATTCTTCCTTATTAGTCAGAACAATAATCAAACATAGATGACCCCCTGGTTGTATGGTGCATTTTTTTTAACAATGAGATTATTAATCTTTGGAAGGAATTTCCAAGGGATGAATAGGGGTGGATCCCCTGTTACTTGCAGTCTGTAAATAACAGTTTGTACAATTTCCTGTAAATAACACTCTAGCTCAGCCAAGTTCTGTCTGGGTGAAGGAGTCAATGAGAAAGGGCCCCAGGATTGTGCTATGCAGAAGGTCAAGCTAAAGGATCATGCCAATCTTTCCTAGCCTTAACTCAGTGTTTTGTAACATGTAACATTCCAAGTTTGTCATGGATAGGCCTTGGGGAAAATTTAGAAGTTTTTCAGGAAAATCCTGATCTTTGTGATCTCAGCCACCCTGCAACTGAACAATTCTACAACAAGATTCCTGTAATTATGTTGACTGCAGGGGGCTGTGGGGTTTTGAAGGTTTTAAAGACTCCTGACTTTTCCAATGTTTCCCCATGACACCAAGCTCATGTTCATTACATCAGTGTGGAACACGACTGCCTTCTTTTACTAAATCACATTTTAAAAAATAAAATTATGCTTGTATTTTTTGCCTTAGCCAAGAACCTGCCTCCCTATGGAGACAGGATAAGTAGAACCAGGCTCCACAATTCAAGCATTCACATGTAAAGTTTGCATCTGCTTAGTACAACCAAGGAACCTAAGTGCTGGAGGAGAGTGGGCTCTAATGGAAGGAGGCTTACTGAGAGCACTGGGCTGCCAGACTTGTCAGTGCAGTGGAAAAGAGGACGAAAGAAGAGGAAAAGACCGAATGAGGGGTGGACAGAGCAAGTGAAAAGCTGAGGGGGAAAACTGAAGTGGACAGGACATGACATGGGATGATATCAGCTCTGACATGAATCTGGGAATTTGGGGTAGAGATAATTTATGGAGGAGCGGTCAACATGACCATCTGACTTCACAACACTTCTCTACACAGACTGGTACTTACCCACCATTGGCTGTCCTCCTCTTCAGCCACTACAATGATCTCTCCCAGGCTGAAAGTGAGCTCATCTTCACGGTCACCCACACAGTTATACAGGGCTCGGACCCTTTGGAGAGGTGACTTATTCTGCAAACCAGGAGCAGAGAGCATCATCACGCCTTTAACCCTTTCTTTACTGTTCTACCACCAAGCTCTTTATTAGAAATAAACAGAAAAAAGCTCCCCAAGAGACAAAATCCCACATGCCACCCTAAGCATATTAGACCACCAGTGAGTACTGCAAAGGAGAGATGATAGGGGGAGGACAGGGGCTGTGAGCACTTCAGTGTTTAAAGAGGTAGGCCAAGTACTCGATCTACACAAGGATGTAGGAGACAAGGCAAGGTTTGTGGGGACTTTAGGACAGGAGGCAAGGAGAATGCTGTGGGTGCTTTGGATTGGGGACTTAAGGTGGGGACTGTGGGATGGGAGGGAGGGTGACTGCTGTAGAGACCCTAGCATGGAAGAGGCCAGCTGAGTACTATCAGGGCTCTGGGACAGGAAGAACAAGTGTAGTGCAGACTGTGGGTGGAGGCAGAGTGAGTGCCGGGGGGTTCTCGGATGGATGAGGCAGCATAAACACTATAAGAGTTATTGGGAGGTGAGGATAAACAAATCCATCAGCTGGCTAAAGTGAAACAAATGCTTCAGGAGCCACAGTGGGAAAAGTGGGAAGAGTGCCCTGGGATGTGTTTTGTAAGGGACTGCAGCAATCTGGGGAACAATAGAGTTTGGTTTTTGTCAGGGCATGGGAGCTGTGGCAGCCTGAATGCAGAAAGCCCTGCGCAGTTGGCTATGGAAACTCTTTGCTTTCCTTATCCCCAGTATCCCTCTTGGAGCAGTCTTGTGCCCTTTTTATTTCCTGCTCTGTGGGGCTGGAGCTCTTCTTGTGGACAGTATTTTCTGTGGGTACGGTGTGTTTTGTAGCAATCTCCTAAGGGTTGTGTGCCACGATGTACTGCATGAGTCATGGCATCAAGGTTTGCCTGAGCCACTCCAAGCAAGCTGAATGGAAAGGGGAGGCAGTAGCTCTGCCATCACTGCTTGCAGCAGCTCCCATGGCTGAGCCCTGACTGGCAAAGAGACAGAGTATCTTCACTGCATGTGTACTTACAGACAGTCTGCACACATGCTCATGGGAAAGGAGCAAACAAAATGCACACACACATATTTGGCTGCTGCTCTCTGAAATAAAGCTAGACTGGCTGCAGCTAGACACAGGCAACCTATTCCTGTCCACATGTGCCTAGAAGGGGATTTGGTGTAGTAGAAAAAAGAGTCTGGGGTAGCAGAAGAAAGCAGCAGTACTTTTCTTTCCACTGGATGTGCCATGCAAAAAGAGGGCTTCATTCCCTGCTCAGGATCTCCTGCTGCTCCCACATGGGGATTTCCTGCTCTCTCACTTGCCAGTCATGGCACCTAACTAGTAGGGCTGTGTGAAATTTCGATGAGTGTTTCGTTTTGAAGCTGTTTCAACATGTTTTGAGCTTGAAACAGCAAAATAGAAATGAAACAAAAGGCTTTGAAACAGCTTTGAAATCAAAGGAGGGCATTTGAAACTGGGCTTGCTTGCACTAAACAGAAACTAAGGAGAGGGAGGGGGAAGAGGGGGGAAGGACTACTCTCTGATATTGACATCTAGCTCCCGGTTTGATTCCCCCAGCTCTCTGATAATTTCCCCAGCTCTTCCTGGGCGGTGTGGCCCTCGATCTGCACGTGGGGTTTCAGCAGGCTGCTGCTGCAGGCTGGGTCAGTGGCAGCCCATGCCAAGCGCCGGGAAGATTGCAGTGCTGCCACTGGCTCCAGCCTGCAGCAGCAGCCTGCTGAAACCTGGAGCTGGGGAGTTGAACCGAGGGCTGGTGAATCGAACCGGGGCTGGAGAATTGAGCCGGGGGCTGGGGAATAGAATAGGGAAGTAGGGAATCGAGCCGGGGACTGGGGGATTGATTCCCCAGCTTCCCTGATCTTTCCCACAACTCTCTGATCACTTCCCCCAGCTCATCGGGAGCATGGGCCCCCAGATGATGCGAGATGACAGCAGGCTGCCGCTGCCAGCTGGGGATGGTGGTGGCTCTGGGCTATTTCCCCAGCTGGCAGCAGCAGTCTGCTGAAACTCCACGCGCAGATCCAGGGGCCGCGTCTCCCAGGAGGAGCTGGTGGAATCATCAGAGAGCTGTGGAGTGAACCAGGAGCTCCGGCTGACACGTAGAACCACGCAAGCTCCCAGACAGCACGTGGTGCCCTGCTGAGCCATGCTGAACCCACGCAATGGTGCAGCTGCCTCATGAGTGCCAGGTGGGGGGAGGGGTGATCCCAGCTGTGCAGGGGGGTCCCTGCCACGAGTGCCCAGAGGCCCCATTTGATCCTGCCAGAGCCAGTAAGTGCAGGGCTTTTTTTTGCTTTTTTTTTTTAAAGCTCTGCACACAAGCTGCAGAGCGTGCAGATGACAGCATGCTGCTGCTGCCAGCTGCAACCAGCACCAGTACCTGGGTCTGCCTGGCGCAGCCTGCGCCAAGCGCTGGGAAGAACCCAGTACTGGCACTGGCCCCAGCCGGCAATGGCAGCCTGCTGTCATCCCACATGCAAATCCAGGGGTCTGCGCCCCCCGGGAGGGTTGTAGGGCTATGCCAGACTCCTCCCGGGGGGTGCGGACCCCTATCTGCACACAGGATGACAGCAGGCTGCCGCTGCCAGCAAATGATACTAGTTTTGCTTTGAACAGTTTGACGTGAAGTTTCATAAAAAACTCTGCACCTATCTCCTTGAAACTTGGCAGGATTCATGCCCCTAGAAGGGGCTACCAGCCCTGCAATTTTCACCCAAATCAGGCAAGAAATGACAAAGTTATAGGCATTTTTCTGATTCCCCATTATAGCCTATGGGCAAAACATCGAAATGTCTTGAAACAGTGAAACAGTTTCAACAAAACGAAATGGAACAATACTTCAAAACAGCAAAATGAAACACTGTCCCTTTGAAATGGTGAAACTGAAGTCGAAATGAAACAGCCCTACCAACTAGGGATTTGTCAAGGCTACATGCCTGGGGTTTGCCAGGGTAGCCAGAGAGTTATCATTACAGTCTAATGCAAGGTAAGCCAGGAAAAAGGAGGCAGTCAAGTCCATGAGAGCAAGCTGCAAGATAAGAGCCACCTACCAGACTGCCCCTCCTAGGAAGGAGTGGTGGAACATCCGGGGATACAGCTGAGCCTGGGCCTGGCTCTTGTGAGGGATGATGCGATATCAGTCTCTGCCCTTTGCTGGGGTCAGATGGACAGAGCATCTCCACTCTCTTCTGGGCAGCTAAGGCGTAAGCACAATGGTCACATCACCCATGCCACAATGGGACAGGCTCCAGCAACAGCATCTAACTAAGCACAGCATGCTTCAGAGCTACAGCAGAATGCTGCACCACCCAGATCTCTTCATGGAGCTGGGTTGCTGCTGGAAAATGGGAAGAAAGTAGAACAGAAGGGCTTGGGAAGGGGGAAGCAGAAGGGCTAAGGAAGATGGCAGAGGCAGCAGGACTGGAGATACAGTAGAGGGGCTCAAGCAAGGGAGTGGGAGGCAGCAAGTGTGGGGTCCTAGTGCGTAGATTAACAGAGGGGATGGATTTGAGGTAGTGGGCATAAGCTCTGTAGCCAAGGAAAGACAACAAAAAGGCTGGGCAAAAGGAGAGAGACACAGAGAGGCTGAGGACCACAGGGAGAGAGGGTAGAGAGAAGGGAGGGCAGAGGAGATGACAGAAGGCCTGGAGAAGAAGTTGAATTGTGAAGGGCATGAACTGGCAAGCGGCAGCCCAGAGTGCAGGCAGAGAAGGCAGAGGGTTGTAGGTAGACATGGCAAAGGATGCAGCACTCTGAGGGAAATATTTGCAGATGTGTAAAATTCAGGTCCTCACCTTGTTGTGAGATAGTCATGGGGGTGGGGAGGCTGGGATGCTGGTGGGAGCCAGTGCTGAGAAGAAAGGTGCAGAGAATATGTGGTTATTCCAATGGATTGAGCTGAGGGACCTAGGCAGAAGGGCTACAGATCAGAGACTCCAGCCATCTTGGGTTCTTGCCACAAGGTTTCTGGAGACAGCAGTCTGGAGAGGAACACACAGGATCCTGCTCCAGATCCTGCCTGTCAGCTAGGGCCATCAAGTGCCAGGAAATGTGACTCTGGCTAAGTGATGGGCTTTCTCCAGCACCGTGGACAGACCCACTACAAGCTGGGACAGAGTAGCCACTGATCATGAGCACCTGCAGCTCCCTGGGAAATGGCCAGCCCATGAGGAAGCTGGCCAGATACAAAGCTGAACAAACCCATGTGTTGGGGGCTCTGGGCTGAAACATGGCATGACAGTGGCACATGGAGTTCAGCCATTTTACCAGCAAACCAGAATCCTGACATATGCTACCAAGAGGCAAGCACTACAAAGGGCAACACCTTCCTGCTTGCCTGACCTAGCTGGCACAGGGCATATGTGTGGCAAAGGAGCCATTCATAGACCTTCCCATTGGTGAAAGACCACAATTAGGGCATTCATTCCTCAGAATATTTGGGATTCTTCCCTGGCTCTGGGAGCTCCCACCCCAATGACAGTTCCCCTGCTCCACTGTGCAGAGACCCCTCAGAAAAGATCTCACCCTCTATCCAGGGATCTCCCTACCCCCCAGACAATTTCTCCTGTGTCCAGAGACCTCCACAGACTGTCCTTCTATCCAGGGCTGCAGAAAGCACTTCACAGACATCCCCCTCCCCTCTGCTCAGGAAGTCTTATCCCACAGAGCCTAATTTGACTCCTCCTGCCCAGGGAGCTCTCCCAATGGTCCCCAGAGGAATTCTAGTAGCCTGTCCCAAGTTCCCATTGCATATAGCAGAGCACTACAGCTAGCCCAGCTCTCTTGGTTACATGACAAACTTAAGCCAGAAGTGAAGGACGTCCCAGGTTCACTCCATCAGTCAGGCCCTAAGGAGTGCCCCACAGCAGCTACAAGCTATTACCTCAGTCTCCTTTTAGAGATTCCTTCTGTAAAATGGAATTTGGGAGGTAGGAAGGGTCCAGAATCTAAGTGGAAAAAGAAATAAGCATTTTCCTGTTCATAAATGAACTTGGGTCCCTGGAGGGAGCTATGTCCAGGATCTCTCAGCACCTTGGAAGAAGTATGTTGCAGTGTGTAGAGCCCAAGTATACCCCCAGCCACCACACTGGGCATGTCTAAACATTCATTAATGCACTTTTGCTAATGTGCATTAAATTTACTACCTCCATTGTGAGGTACTATAAAAAGGCACATTAGCCTATTTTAATGTGTATTAACAAAAGCACACCTTTTTGTGATGCTTTAGTACACATTTAAAAAAGGCTAATGTGCATTAAAGCACATATGTAGACATGCCCATTGAGCACAAAAGATCCTAGCGCAGATACCCTGCCCCTGCTTTGGAACAGCTCCTTCTACCCATTCCGAGGAGCTCTGAATTACTGCTTGTTTTTGTAGCATCTTAGCTACCAAGCCTACCAAGTAGGGTATAGGAAAAGTACATGCCCAGGGATGGTAGTGGCTTATATCTATGGCAGCCAGAACTGCCAGGAGTACTTTTCAGCCTCTGCTTCAATATAACTGGCAACTGTCTTACTCTCATAATGTATGAAGCTCCAGTATTTGGTCTGGTACCACCATCTTGGGCAGAAACCCCTGTGCTGGAGCATGAGGACAGCCATAGCTGTAGCAAAATGAACAATCCTGGGGTGGATACTCAACACAGGGATGGCTGAAAATCAATTTAGTGTCATGCCCAGCAGCTGCATCGCTCAGGCCAGCACAGCTCAGAGATAGCCCCTTGCCTTCTGTGATTCCTATCCATCCCCAACTGTCTGGTCTCCCAGAGTGAGTCCTCATACAAGCATCAAGCAAGAATAGCAAGTTATCCACTGCAACCCCTGCATGCACCCATCAGGCCCTGTCTGATAGTGACACAGTATTACTTTTAATTTGGTGTTGGACACAGAGAACATCATGTTTCCTCAGCTCCACAAGTTTCTTCCTCACAAAGCTCCATGGTGATATCTAGTACGTGTTCTGTTTCTTTACCTGTAGCCAGGCTGGCCTGGCTAGATGGCACAGGGCTGAGTGGCACCCAAGGCACAGGCTCTGAGGAAGTTCGCTTGTGCTTGATGTTCACATTCAGTGGGGGGATCTTCCTGGTTGTTGTGTCATCAGCAAAGACTGGCAATCTGGTAGGGGGAGGGGGTGGAGGCACATTGGGAGCTACACAAAGTTTAACAGCAAATCATTGATTAGAAAAGAGAAGCAGGAGGAGAGGCATCTTACTGGAGAACCAGAAATCAGGCAGGGTCAGCACAACTGATGATTTCATGAGAATAGGTGCCCATCCCACAAGAGGTGTAAGTCAGAGCAGCTATATTGACTTTAACTGTGATTTAGATTTACCCTGGCTGTGAATGTGACTTGAGGTGCACAAACAACAGAGGTACCTGGCATAGCTAGTAATGTTATATAAAGCTGCCTCCATCTCAGGTCCCTGAAAGGTCATTATCCTTCAACCCAGATCCCAGTTCTCCCACCTGGCAGAGAGCTGTACAGGGAGGTATAAGCTCTGCCTGACATTTCCAGCAATGTAGCATTAGAATCCTCAGGACCTTTACCGCCATTCTTGTCTCCAGTTGTGGACCAGTGACAAGTAAAGGCCAGGTACCAAATACAGCAGAAAAAGCCCAGGTGAGATTCCCTCATCTGGGGCTGGCCCCATCACATAAAGCCCCACTACTACAACCAGGCAATAGTATGGCCTGACCTCGGATTATCCCACGTGGTGGAAGAGGTGGCACACATGGAGGAGACATCGGGGCTGCTAGTTCAGCAAGGTTGCGGGGATGAGCAGTTGGGGTGGCATATAAATCATGTTGCTTCCCCTGTGGTGCTATACTTGGCCCCTTTGCCCACTGCTTTGAGGCAGTGGTAGGTGACTGGTAGCAGCTCTGAGGACGGAAAACATGCTCCTTTTTCACAGGACTCAGCTGAAAAGAAGAAAGGTACATGTTATACAGTAATAAGGGACTGCTTTGCAAGAAACTGGAGGAATATCAAAGAGTAAATGGTATGCAGCACAAGTGCAGCAAACACTGCACTTGTTTCAGTTTTAAACAGCCTTATTTCAGTTCCTCTTCTATGGGCAACAAGCTTAGCCAATTAAATTAAAATAGGGAACATTTTTTTCCATCATCAGTGATACATTTAATAAATGTTCATACAACAACATCATGTGGAAACTAGAGGAAGGAAGTGCAACAGCAACACCAGCTACAAGATTGAGAAGGGGCAGGCAATTATTTTGGGTGGAGGCCGCTTAATGAGGTTTGGTGAGCTGCCAAAGGCCGCATGGGTAGCCCCGCCCCTTGACAGGTACCCCGCCCCTGGTCACCACCTTGGGACCAGCAGTCCCACCCCTAACCCTTGACCTTTGCCACCAGAAGTCCCTCCCCTGCCCCGCTGGAAATAATACTTTTGGGAGGGGGGGTTGCCATCTTAGAACCAGAAAAAACCAAATCATACACTAAAAGTCAAACACCTACTATAACATATTTTAATTTTATTACAAAAAATACTTTTGTCATGATTTGTGTTTGTGTAGTGTATATAGAGGTGATTGCATAATATCTCAAAAATAAATTCTTAGTCTTTTATGTAGTGGGGGGTGGTTGGGGGTGTGTGGTGGAAGTGTGCATGTGGTGGGGTGTATATGTGTGCGTGCATAGTGGGGGGGTGTATGGAGGCAGGGGTATATGGGGATGTGGGGGTGTATGGGGCAGTGGGAGGTGTGGTGGGCATAGGGTATGTTGAGGGGTTGCGTGGCGCTTGTGGGGTGTGGATGTGTGGCTCTGGATCACACTGGACTCTGTAACACATCCTCTCCTGTAGTCAATGCAGGTAACACTGGGGGACTGGCGTATTTGTGTGTGTGGTTTATGGGGTATGAGAGAGGGTGGGAGGGGTTTGGAGACCCCCCCCACCACACACACACACACACACCCCCCTGCCATAGCACAGCAGCAGGTGGGGGTGCTGGTGCCTGGTGCCATAGAACAGCAGCAGGTGGGGGTGCTGGTGCCTGGCTCTGGCCAGCACTGCACGTTGCAGTGAGAAGCAGAGCCCCCGCCGGTGCTCCCCGCACTTGCAGGGCATGGGAGGGAAGCCCCAGGTGCTGGAGTCTGCTGCTTTGCCCACCCCAGCCTGCTCCAGTGTCTGGGGCTTCTCTCCTGTGCCCTGCGAGTGCAGGGAGTGCCACGGAAGCCAGGATCCAGGCACCAGCACCAAGCAGAATGTCCCCGCCCACTGCTGCTGCTGCCACCCACTGCCTGCCAGGACCGCACACCACGAGGGGAGTGTGAGAGGGGATCCCCATGCCCCTCCCCTCTATACCTGCTCACCTGAGCTACGCACTGCTGCCACCCCCCTGCGCGAGGGCTCCACACTGCATCCAGCCCCAGCCCCACACTCCTGCCCAGCTGCAGCCCCACCCCTGACCCCAGCTTCCTTACCTGCTGCCCAGAGGGAGCAGGACGCTGGGGAAGCCTGCAGCCCCATCCCATGCTAGCAGGACCTGCCCTTCCACCCATGAGTGTGGGAGCAAGGCATAATAGGATATGTTGGGGGTGGGTGTAGGCATCTTGCTCCCACTCTCACTGGTGGAAGGGCTGAGTGGGGCACAATTACCTGGGGGGCACTGCAGGCCAGAAGAAAGTGCCTGGCAGACTGGATCTGGCCCACAGGCCACATTTTGCTTACCCCTGAGATTGACACCTGTCTGAAATATTGTCAGAGAATTCATGAGTGGGTACTTTGCTAGGCAAAACCACGGGGCAGGGGGAGGGGGTCAGTGAGGCATTTACAGTTCAAACTATGCATTGTGGAGACTCTCACTGAGGACAGGTTGAGAGTGCTGAGATCTCACCTTCTCATCCAGATCATCATCACTCTCATACATATCATCTTGGCCCAGCCGCCACTCATACTCCACATGGACACGCATGTTGAATTGATTGTTTTGAGACTGAAGCAGCTGCAGCAGAAAGGAGGTAGTCTCAGTTCACAATCTTCCTCTGTGTCCTTATGCCCTAGGCATCAGGGCTTCATGTGGGTTGGGCAGCCCAGGGTCATAGAGAACAGTCATTCACCAGAGAAATACACCCTGGGCTGAGGCAGTGATCTTCAGAACCCTAAATGAGCCATTCCCACCTACAGGGGTGTAGGTTGTAGCCGTGTTGGTCTAAGGACATAGGCAGACAAGGTTCTTTGGGTGGATCTGATATCTTTATTAGACGAACTTCAATAGTTGGAAAACAATTTTTAAGCAAGCTTTTGGGTTCAAAAACCCTTCATCAGGCTAAGGAAGTTTCAGCAGTTGGTGTGTGCTCTTCCTGGATGGAATGAAAAGTAAAGAAGCCAGGGGCTGGGCTGGTATGCATACAAGACAGGTAGACAGTAAAGATGTAGATTGAGGAGTCAATGGGTAAGAGACAAGGGGGGCGGGGGGGAAGAAGGAGGATAAATAGTGGAGAGATACCTGGGGAGTCAGATGTCAGGCAGGTTATAATGTGTCATAAATCCAATGTCTATATTTAGTCCATGATTTTTAGTATCCAGGAGGTTGATGAAGTGGAGTTCATAGGCTTGTCTCTGGGAAGTGTTTTGTAACAGAGCCATCAGCATTCCTGGATCTTACAGCAGCATCTCCAGAAATGTAATATATCTCATCCAATGCACCAAAAGCCCTGATGGAAAATACGTAGCAGAGACCAACCAACAACTGCGCACCAGAATGAATGCACACCGGAAATCTATCAAAGACAAGAATACCCAACTACCTGTGGGGGCACATTTCTCACAGGAGGGCCACTCTCTCTCCAATCTCTCAGTCCTAATCCTCAAACGAAACTTACAAAACACTTCCCAGAGACGAGCCTATGAACTCCACTTCATCAACCTCCTGGATACTAAAAATCATGGACTGAATATAGACACTGGATTTATGAAAAATTATAAAATTGCCTGACATCTGACTCCCCAGGTATCTCTCCACTATTCATCCCCCTTCTCTCTCTCTCTCCCCCCCCCATCCCCCACCTTTCTCTCACCTATTGACTCCTCAGTCTACATCTTCACTGACTACCTGTGTTGTATGCATATCAGCCCAGCCTCTGGCTTCTTTACTTTTCATTCCATCCAGGAAGAGCACACACCAACTGCAGAAACTTCCTTAGCCCGACGAAAGGTTTTTGAACCTGTAAGCTTGCTTAATAATTGTTCTCCAACTATTTCAGTTGGTCTAATAAAAGATATCAGATTCACCCAAAGAACCTTGTCTGCCATTCCCACCTAGGTTTTCCTACAGGCTTCCTCTTCTCTGCAGGACACTATTCCTTTTACAGGCGTCCTATTTCCTAGCCCTAGGCATCAGAGGAGCAGGATTCTTGGGGATGGGACTGTTTTTCATTTTTGAACTCCTGGATTTAGGGATCCTGTCACTGATCAAATGGGGACTGCCCCACACCAAACTACTCCATTATTACGCAGAGCCCAGTGGGGTTAATAAAGCCATGGAGACCTCTCCATCTGCAAATCCAGACAGTGTCCTACTTGTACTGACAGATTTCATAAGCTGGGCTAAGTGGCATTACTCCAATCTGCACATCTCCAATATCTGAAATGTATCCAAACCTGTTGTTGTGCCCCAAGGAATGTCTGTACAAACACAGCCACAGCTGACATAGCACCTCCCTGAAAACCACATTAAGATCTGATATTAGAGAAGTCTGATCTAGCAGAAAAGGTCAGGTATTAGAACACCAGATCCAAGCCAGGACAAAACAGAGAAGGTAGTGAGTGCACTGAGTCTGCAGTCTCAGCGCCATCCTAATGAAGCTATGGAAGTACAAATCCCTATCTTCACTCCAATCTATAAGGTCAGGGGTTCTGCCTATTAGGCACTGTATAGTACAAATTCCCAATCAGGGATTTGGAACAAGCTAAGATAACACCACTGGCCTTTCCCAGAACCCAGCCATGGCTTTCCATGGAACCCAGTGCATCTTAGAGCAGCATGCTGAGAGTTTGTTGGCACTGTGGAGTACTGAAAGTGTTCTCATTGTATAAAAAGCCTAATGGAGGTCAAACAAATGTGGGTAATACAACCGAGAGCTGTGGACCTTAGTTAAACCTGGCTGCGTATCTCTTCAGCTTACTGCTAGGTTTCTGTTGAACAGAGTGCAATGTGAGATCAAAAGGAAGCCTTGAGACATGGAGACATGCAATCTGATTGGGCTAAACCATTAATTTGTTACTTCTATGTAGTCCCTGTTCTGGTCTTAACAGCTCTCCCTGTTGTTTCCAGGTTGCTGAAAGTGAGGTCTCATGTCTTACCAGTTCTTCACACAAGGAATGCCTCATTCGCTTGGCAACATCCAGGGCTGTTTCTCCCACATCATTAGCTGTGGGAAAAGAGCAGCCACTGTGAATCATGAATGCAGAAGGCAGTTATCGTTACAGAGATAGGAAGATTGGGGAAACAGCTGTATAACTCATCAATTCTTTTCACCAGTATGAAATTATTATGCAGTGGTTAACAAGAAATTTGATGTACCATGCTATACTTCTATGTATCTGGATGAAATGCCTTTGCTGATAAGGCCTTCACCACATATCAACCAGCACTTAACTTTAACTCCTGTGTTTTGTCCAATAACAGTTATGATAAGAAGAAAACTCAGATGGGCAAATGAAGACAGTTACTAGTAACTGTAGTTCTCTGAGATGTGTTGCCCACATGCATATTCTCTCTTGTGGATGTCTCACATCCTGTACTTTGACTAGAGACATTTTTCCCTCAGCAACATCCACAGACTGCACTCTAGCCCTGCCTCTTTTTATGTTACCCTGCCAAAAGGGTTAAGGGTTGTGCACAAAACTTGTGCCTCAGCTGCAGCTGCAGATCCACTAAGAAAGAGGGAAAGGAAGATAGAATTTGAATGTGTATGTGGTATGTATGTAAACCAGTTTCTCCCTGGACAAGGTGCAACTATTCAGACATCTGGTTTCATTGTCCTGGGACAGACCGCAAAAAGGTTCATGGGAAAAGAACTGCTAACAGTTTGTCCTGGGACACTGTCAGGTAAACCTAAATTGTTGTGGCCTTGCCCACCTATTAACTGCCCTGCACAGTGACGCAATAGGCATTCTGTGCTTACCACCTGCCTGAGATCAGTCCTGGAGCACGCATCCATCCAACCAACCATGAACATATCCATCCATCAGAGACATCAAACCATCAGGGACATCCTCAAACCCATCCACCACTCACTGAGTCAAGCTAACGAAACTGCTCCCATATATATAGTGTCTCCCACAGTCACTTACTGATGGCAATGTTGGCCTTGGCTCTGAGAAAGAGCTTTATACACTCAGGTTTATTGTAGAGGCAGCAGTAATGAAGTGGTGTGTTCCCCTTCACTGTCTGCTTCACCAGGCTCCCACTGCAGCAGATAATGAGAATTATCAGTATGCTTGAAAATAAGCAGTTCTTCTCATTTATGATACTAAATGAATGACATTTACACAAAAACCTTTCTTCCTACATCACATGAACAAGGAGCAGAACTAAGACTCACCAGTATGCTGGCTTTTCAGTAAGGTACCTGATTGCAGGGATGCAAAATACCAACAGAGATCACCTACTGGGTTGCACAGTCAAGCCTACCCACTATTTAGCCTGAAAATCATGCATTGGACTGAATTGTGGGCAAGACATATAGCTCCTCTTATGACAGCCAGTGATCATTTTGATGCCTGGCTTCAAACCACCAGGGCCTCCCTGGATATAGAGAGTGGCAGCAACAGAAGCAGGCATGGATTGAATGGTCAAGAGACTGGGGTGGAGGGAAGGATGCATCTGATAAGACTGAATAGAAAGGACTGAGTTGGTTCAGGCAGTATCTGAAAGTGGATGGTCTGCTGCTCCAGTTTCAGCTGGGAGCAGTCTCTCTCCAGGAGGAAGTCACAAAGGATTGATGAAAGTTGACTATATGCAAATTATTTACAACTCTCTGAATCCCGTCATTAAATAATTGGCATAAATTGTTAAAGATGGAGCATTGGCAGGTTTGTGCATATTCCCAGTGAAGGGCAGAGAGCAGGATTGGCATAACCTAGGCATCTGTCACTAGCCAGCAGGGATATAGAAAGCTGATTACCAGCTTGGCCTCCTGAGGCTGCCTTATTGCAGTCATTACTCTGGCTCTGTCTGGAACTCCTGTGCACAACACCTTTCTCCCTCTTCAGAAGTGAAATGTCTCTGTCTTAACATTTGTAAAGGATATTTCACTGAAGTACCAGGGTTATTTACAACAGCAAATCTGCAAATTGCCCTTGACAGGCTGCTCTAAGATTTTTGTTTCGGTCTTACTATAGATTTAAGGGACGATTAACAATAACCGGCTTTCCTGAACTAGCTAGAGGTAACAGAGATCAAGATAAGCCTCAGCATGAGCCTGGCCAGCAGTCCCATACCAGAGTCTACCTAGGAGAGTGCCAAGCACTTGGCAGGATGGGATTTAATGAGGGCAGGCTATGGCCCAGTGTGGTCTGGCTATTGAGCTCTGACAGAGTGCAGATCTCTTGCTCACAGAGCTGGCAGTGCAATTTCAGAGGCAGACATGAAGCTCAATACTCTCAGCAACAGTGGGCAATTTTTTAAAATCTGCTCCTTGATGGGTATTAAGAAGAACACGTGAAAAGGGCAGGAGTACTTAAGACAGATACCCAATGGAAGAGGATGGAAAAGTAAGTATGAATGGGAGACAGGCTTGGGGAAGAATGCATAGAGAGTAAGGAAGAAACAAAAACAAGTGGAGAACAGATTTATAACTAGGTTCAAATGAGCTGTTCAGGGATGAGAAGAGAGATGGGACCTGAGCAAAGCAACAGGAGAGAAAGAGAACTGAGCAAGAGGGCAGTGGCAATTGGAAAGGACTGCTGCTAGGGTGAAGATGATCATGGTGACCATGGCTTCATGTCATACATTTGACTTTACTTTTCCAAGTCCTGTTGCTTCTCACCGTTCCCGGCCTCCTCCTCCTCCTCCTCTGTGCTGTTAACATTCTCTATGCTGTAGGTACCTCAACAATGTAATCCGACCCTGTGATCTGACATCCAACACAGTAATCCGACACTGGCATACTAGATCATGCATGGCAGTGCCTGACAGAGGACAGCGTAGGCTGCAAACATGCTCAGTGACTGACAAACCATACTGAGGTGCAGACTGCAGACCTAGCACAAGCCTAAATTATGAATAATGAGCACCTAAGTTTGTATTTAACCAATCATAGAATCACAGAAGTAGGGTCTGAAGGGACCTTGTAGATCTTCAAGTCCGACCCCCTGCCTGGGCAGAAGGAAAACTGGGCTCAAATGACCCCAGCCAGGTAGGCATCGAGCCGCTTCTTAAAGACCCCCAGGGTAGGATCTTCCATTTAAGCAATAAGTAGTAGTTTTGGAAAGAAGAATAAGAATTTTTGTCAAGGCCACTAATATTAGGCTAGGCCTAGTGCAAATAACTGCTTTTTTGGAAAGCACTTAATAGAGTTAAAAGTAACAACTCAAGTTTTGCCATTTGATAAAAATAACTGAATTGTATGTAGCCAGCTAGATTCATATTGAAATAATAATGTGCCTTTGTTAACTAACTATGGCAAAGTCAAAATGTATTTTATGTGTAGAAAAAAATGAAAAGAGTTACGGATGCTCTGGGAGTTTGGATCCAGGAACAGAGCAAAAGGAAAAGAGTCCAACACTGAAGCCACCTGTTGTCAGTCTTGGTTATTTTCTAGGGGCTTTTGCTGTGCTACAGGAGTATGGCTGAAGCAGAAAGCTCCAAAGCCTGTTTCAGAATAAACCTTTCCAGACATTACAACATAGACACTCATTACATGTGTAGTGCTATATACACAACCTCCTCTTCTCCTTCACCCCAACTGCCGATAGAACTCGTTGTCAGGCTCCCCTCAGGGCCAAAAGGAGCCAAGGAGCAGCCCCTTAGAGCCACTTGATTGGAGACTACACCTGTATGGTGACTTTGTAGTACTCCAGCCAGACAGCTCAATAGCACTTTATTTTTGTAGTACAACAAATGAATTGCCTAGACTAAATGAATTTAGTCTATTGCCTAAAAGAGCCAGGATGTGGCAAGTTCCTAATTTCCACCTACTTACATCCTCACTGACATCATGTCACACTTTTAGCTTCTTTCTTTCCTTGCAGTCTCAGAACAGAAGAAACTCCCTATGCCTGAAGAAGGGTGATTGCACCCAAAAGCTTGCAAAGAACTTTTTCCAACTACTCAGTTGGTCTAATAAAAGGCTGTGTGTAGATGAAACGATGGGCATGTGTGCACGACACTTTAAAGCAGGCTAAATGTTTTTGCACCACTTTAATGGTGTGGGCATTTGCACGCCTCGGGGGCGTACTGTGGAGGAGTTTTAGTTTGCTGCCCTACTAGCTGTGGAGCGAAGCACTGGGCTCTGTGTAGCTCAGGGGCTCTGCAGGAAGCCCTGCAGGCAGCGTGGCAGCAGCCTGGGAAGGCAGGCTCCGCCAAAGAGAGGCAAAAAAAGTGGCGAGCCTGATCTTTTTTTTTTCCCTCCCTGGAGTCTGCCTGTCTGCTTGAGCTGGGCTGGGGCCAGCGTGGCAGCAGCCTGGGAAGGCAGGCTCCGCCAAAGAGAGGCAAAAAAAGTGGCGAGCCTGATCTTTTTTTTTTCCCTCCCTGGAGTCTGCCTGTCTGCTTGAGCTGGGCTGGGGCCCGGTACCTGCCTCCGCGGTTGCGGTGCCCCCTGGGACTCCCTGAGCCAGGCGCCTGTGGGAGGGTGCTGCCTCGGGCGGGGGGCACTGCTGCCACAGAGGGAAGCACCACCCCCCGCAGTCCAGGAACTGCTCCACCAGCCAGCAGCTTGCCCTCCCCTCCCTGCCACCGGAGAGGCAGGGGTGTGCACAACATGTGGGTTTAATTGGCCCTAAATTGAAGCAGTGTTTTTAAAAACCCATCCATTCAATTTAGGGCCCCCATTTCGTCTACACACACTCAAAGATATAACATCTACCCAAAGAACCTTGTCTACCTACGTCCTTAGACCAACACGGCCACAACCAAAATCCCAGCAGGATGTGGCAAGTAGCATTTGCAGGTCATGAGAGAAAAAGATACGGAATCCTCCCTTCCAGAACTGTAATTTTCACAAGGACATAGATCTCAGTTAAATGGCATCTTCCAAGTTTGTAAAAAATATGATTGGGTCCCATTCTCATTATCTCAGTGAAACAAAAAAAATTGAATAAAACCAATCAGAAAAAAATTATTAAAATAAGCCATATATGAATATTCGGTTAGATGGGAGGGCAGAGAGAGGATTTTGAAGACCTCAGTAAATATAAGATGACCTACTGCCAGTCTACATGTCACCTGCCTACCCCATTCTGAGTCCCCACAGCTAGACAGGCACTGAGACCAATGTTTATTCTTGTGCTTTGAGGTGTAAACAATAAAGGCTGAGCTGCAGGCCTCTCTCTTACCTTCTTTATCTGATTTGGGTAGTACAATAGTGATACCCCACCTGCTAAGAAGAAATGCAGGATCACTAGAAAGTGTAACTCTCCTAATTTGGCATATTAAAAAGATAACCATTAAGGGAATTGTAACTGTGCCTTAATTTTGTGTCTAAGCTTGCAAAAGAGGTCATAGATGGGCTGTAGTATTGTCTGTCTAAAGACAAAGACAGAATGATACCAAGTTAGTAGTAACAACATGGCCAGTCCTTGTTTAACAAGTGATGCCAGCACGGAAGTTCATTTTGAGTGATTATAAAGTTTTATCAGCTTTCATGGTTTACTGCCATATGAGCTCAGGAAAAATGAAGGTAACTAATGCAATGAGAAAGTACAGCAGGTAAAGGAGAAAATAAAGTTTTAGAAGAAGCATTTATGAAAGGTAGTTTCATTGCTAAAGTGCTAGATTGAGGCCTAGGTGGATTCAATTTCCAGCTTTACTAATTTTTCTGTGCCTTAGTTTCTACTTGTATAAAATGGAGATGATAACAGCTGAGCTTGAGGGTGATGAGAGCTTGATAGCTGAGCTTGAGGGTGATGAGATAAATCCATAAATACTTGGACAGTGCGCTTGTACTGTGACAGTGGATCCCTTAAGAGGACAGGCTTTAACAGTGGCCCCAAATTGCTTGGGGTCACTGGGCTTGACTATGGAAGAAAGTCAACTGTACATCTTCCTGCTCAGAAAGATACAGACATACTTTAGACAAAACGAAGCTGGTCATTGTCTTTTTGGAGACAAAATGGCTTAGGTCAGTCAGCAGTGGATTGTGGAGCCTGAGGTGCAGCCAGTGCAGCATTTCCCCTTTGAAAACTGTTCTCAAAGGCATAGGTGGGAGGTGGTGAACACAGACTGAACTTCAGTGGGACAGGTGTCCCCATCACAAAATCTCCATCACCACTGGTACTCACTGGTTCCTTTAGCAGAGAGGCCAAGGAATGGTCATGGACCCTGAACTTCCCTCTAACTAAAAGTGGCTGCTCCAGGTCAAGACTGATATGTTTGCAGGGAATTAAGGAAAGCTTGCCCTGGTACTGAGGAACAACTTGTCTGTGGCTTTTCTTCTAGGGATATGCAGAGGAAACTGGTTCCAAGGTTGTCAATCCAGTACCTTCCACCAGCACTAATTTTGCTGGCAATGTATTAAAGTAAATAAGATGTCTCATGTCCTGGACTGAACATGCATGCTGTGGAACCTGAAGTTGGCTTACCTGTTCTGCACTAGAAAATCAACAATGTGCAAGGAGGTTCGGTCAGACTGTAACACTGCCAGGTGGAGAAGAGTTTCCCCAGGCTCCTGTAACCAGGAAAAAAAACAGCAACTGATGGGATGGGTCAGGAGCTCAGCAGCTCCAGGCAACTTTACCCCTCCCGGACTTTAGGACATGAATTCTGGCTCAGGCATAAGGCTCACCTAGCCTACTGTCTTCTGACAGGAGACTGGTATTATCTGCTTCAGAGGAATATATAAGGAAATCCCAGATTAGGCAATTTGTAAGGGTTGCTGGGTGTGAAGACTTGAGGTGGGAGAGAGTGGGTATTGGCTGGGGAAAATGGTTCAGTCCACAGCTGGAAGGCAATGGCTACTGAGCTCCCTTAACAGCTTCTTATAAAAGATCTGTCAAAAGCCCTGGAAAACATCTTACATTTATTATAGTGATAAACAGTAGCCCTAATAAGAAACAGTCTTATTATTTAAAATGTACTTTACTTAAATCAACTGATTCCTTATTAAAGGTTTAAAGAATTTTACGAGACTAACAAAGCACAAGTTTCTTCCCTAGAAGCTGTGCTGGTTATATCACGTTCATGGAGAGAGTTTATAGCTCAGGGGTTGGCAACTTTTTTGGCTAGATTGCCAAAAACAGCCCAACCTCAGTTTCTAAGATGTGGGTGTGCCAGAGGCAGCTGAAAGGGGTCCAAATCCTTGTTCTGGCAGTGCAGCCACAGCCCCTCCCCTGCCATCCTGCCAGAGGCAGTATGCACCTGTCACCAGTAATGAGCTGGGTCAGGGCTCTGCAAACCTTGGTGCAGCTGATTGCAGCCTTCCTGCCACCTGCTGTGAGCAGCCTAGGGTGCAGGATGATGAAGGTGTTTGGGGCAATGCAACTTCAGCACCTTCCTGACCATGTGCCCCAAGGCACTTGTGCAGCCTCCACAACAGGGCTTGCAGCTTCCTGGCTACCTGCTGCAAGCAGCCCAGGTTCCATGGCTGGCAGCAGCTGCCTGGAGTGCAGGCCAGCTGTAGCAAACCAAGCAGAGTGGCTTCACGTGCTATGCTCTGCATGTGTGCCAGGGATTGCCAACCCCTGTTATAGCTCAGCTGCTTTACTGCATTTTCCTAGTACAGAAGTAAGGCTCACTTGTCTGTAAGATCAGGATCTCTCTCAAAGTGTTTGGCAGATTCAGGAACAGAACACTGAGCAACAGAACACCCTACGTGAAGAGCAGGGCCTCAGGCAAAGTAACAGCGTCTCTTATCCATGGATTTTCCTTCAGGAAAGGCCCAGAAAGGTTCTGAGCCTATGCTCTGCTCTGATCAGGACCTTTCCTCCATTATATCATAGAAAGATCCTATTCAGGTCTACAGACACCAGAGAATTCACATACAGAAACACTGCATTGTAGTCACTTATTTTGCTCCAAAGAAAACACACCTAATGGAAAGCTAAGAAAGCAACAAGAACTAAGAGCATCCAACAGATCAGACCCACAGCTCTCACCAATGACATTTTCCCCCATTAGTCTAGAAAAGGTAACACAGCCCTAACTGTGCCTAAGAAAAAAAGGTCAGCCTTCCTGCTTCCCTTTACACAAAACCAGTAAACCTTCCCTCACATGTACCCTCTGTGCAATGCTGCATAACCAGGTGGAGGAGGGTAAACATGATCAGATTCCACTCCACCAGTCAGGACTTGGGCACCTAAGTGTGATTCTGTTTCATCCTGCTTGAGTTCATGAAGGATAATTAATGCAAAAGGTGGGTGGGACATGTCACAGAAAGGGCTCTGGGGAAGCTGCAGCACCCCCTAGTGACTGCACTAACCCTGCCCAACTCCAGCTCCTCCATGTACTGCTGCAGAGTCTTTCCTGCCATGCCTTGATGAAAATGTTCTATCAGGGTGGGAGGTGGCCCCAGAGTCTTGGAGTGACCTTACCGATTCTTCCCTTACCATAACTTGTTACTTAATTGGATCCTTAGTCAGCTACTGCTGGCACTTCCCAGGCACCACTCATGTCCCCACAGGCTCTACCGGTGCTTTTGGGTATTAAACATGCCTTAGGGGCAGCATTTGTGTCCTCCAGTCACCCCCATGCCTCACAGGTGTCACTCAGTCACCATTTTTGTGGGGCTTCCTAGCCCTATTCGTCTGTTCTACACCTTGGGCTCTAACTTATTTGTCCAAGCTTCAGCCCTTATGGCCTTGGTCCCTTTTTCCTCTTGCTGAGGCCCTCATCCCTGATCCACTGTTTCAGGCTTTGGCTCTCTGGCATCAGCCCCACTGAATCCTGTCCAGTGCAGGGCTCAAAACATAGAACACCCTGCTGCATGTCCTCCAAACTTCTCCCATAGCTGTAATCTGGTCTTCCAGTTATAAATATAAACCAAGACACAAGCAAACTTTCCAACTAAACTCAAACTCTACGCTGGGTATCTATCCCGCTGCCCTTCCAGCCCAGAGTGTGTTGGGTGCCTTTGGATCTGCCTCCTGCAGTCTCCCCCTCCTCCCCTCCCCCCAAAGCTCATCTGCTTGCATATATCAGGGTTTGACTGCTTGCTCCAGCTCAGGAGCCAAATTTCTATCCATCCTCCTGGTCACATGGCTCCTCCATCATGCACAGGGATTTCCTGTTAGCCAAATAGGCCTCCTGCTTTTACAGCACTGCTGTTACTACCTATCTGGAGCTCTGCCCTTATTTTCTTATTTCAATGTATCTAGCTCCCAGGTAGGCACTTGCAGTTCTGTAGCCTCTTATCTTGGCTTTCCCCTGGTTGCTTACTCTAATATAGCTGGCTTTATTTCAGTTGTTCTTTCCCTTGAAGTGACAGAGGCAGAAAACCCTGTTACAGGTCCTCTTCTTCCTCACTGTTTTTTGTGATTTGGTCTTAAGGGTGGTTATCACACAAGTAGATCCATTAATGTGTAGCAGTAAGGGTTAACTCCCTTGCTGACATGATGACATCAATAGGAAGTTTTCATCCATCTTTGGGTGTGTGTGTTAGTTGCAATAAAGCCCCTTTAAGAGCAAGAAGTCTCCCTGCTTTTTCCTAAGCTATGAGATAGCACATGGTTTCAGAAGTGGCTGAATCCTGCCACCAACAGGAACACAAATGTCAGTCAGCAATTGGATGATTTCCAAATGGCAAACCAAGCTCTAGCAGCAGCTGAGTCCCGCTCAGGGCAGAGGTTGGCTACAGAGAAAATGCAGGCAGTTAAAGTTACACCACCAAAACGGTTTGATTACCAATCCCCTGGAATGTGGCCTAGCTGCATCAGATGTTTTAACTGCTTCACAGAAGTGTCCGTATAGGGTTACCAATATCTAGGTTTTCCCGGACATGCCCTCTTTTTTGGCCTCCTGTGCTGCGTCTGGGCAGGTTTTTTAAATGCAGGCAAAATATCTGGGATTTCCATCCTGGTCTGTTTTCAAGATGGCCGCTGCTAGGTAGAACTACAGTTCCCAGAATACCTAGCATGTGCACACACGGGATAGGGAGCTGAGTACTCAATCAAGATCTGAGTTTTCCGTTTATCACAGAAAAACACGGAAAATACAATACCACTTCAGCGAATGGGGGCAGAGGCAGGGGCAGGAGGCGGGAATCACCGTCATTCTCTGCACGTGCATGCAGACGTGGAGAGCCAGGCAGGGTATGGGAGCTGCCCCGGCCGAACACCTGGATGCAAGGAAGCTGGAAGGTGGGGGTGGGGTGTGTGAGCGTGTGCATGCCCCGGCTGGGGCACACTGCCCAGGGTGGAGGGTGCACAGGCCTCCTCTCCCATCCTCCAGGCCGTGCAGTGGTTGGATCCACCACCACCCACAGGAGCCAGAGCTGTTGATGCAGCTGCCGCATTTGCTCCAGCCCGGAAGAAACGGGGGCAGCTGGGGGGAGGGGCACCAGCAGAGCCCAAAGGGGAGTGGGGAATTTGAATTGGGACTGAGGGGCAACGCAGGGGCAGGGCACTGGTATATCACTCGGAGTTGCTCGGTGCTATAAAGCAGCAGGGGGGGCTGGGGTACAGCCCCAGCTGGACCCACATCTTGTTGAGCAAAAGGGGTGGGGGAGCTCTGATTTTCTGTTTTAAAAAAAAGTAGACTTCCAAATTGTTTTAAAATTGTAAATAAAGCAATAAAACATTGTGTTAAATTGACAACAATATATAGATAGTGAGGTTTCAATTTAATCATGGAAAAATGTGGGTTCATGTTTTTTTAAATCAGTGAATTCAGGTTTTTTATGAGACAATTCTTAATTTTTAAACAGAAAGGAAAACCTGGTGTTTACTGTAGTGACGAAGCAGATATTGCACAAAGCAGGAGTGCAGTCTGTCATTTGAGTGCAGCTTCAGCATTTACTTAATGCTTTTGTTTCTCATTAAATTTCTGCGGCAGTAACACTTGTTCTTTACTGTAACAGTTAGAAACACCCCCTCCCCCACAATCTCCCCTTCACTCTCTTCCCCCCACCACTTCCTGGACAGCTGTCCTCTTTTTTGGAACTGGAAATATGGTAACGCTAGGTTTGGACAAAAACTCTGAACCTTACTGAGTAAGTACTCTCATCTACTCAATGGAGGATCAGGCTGATGTCAGAGAAAAAGCAATATGATGATGTGGTAGAAACATTAACTGAACATTTTTGGGCAAAAGAAATGTGATTTATGAATGAGCTAGATTCAGTCTCCATAAACAGAAGCCTTCAGAACCTGCGAACAGCTTTATCACATCTTTGCATACACTTCCTGAATCTTGCCAATATGGGGAGCTCAAGGAAGAACTAATTAGGGACCGCTTAGTTGTGGGTCTTCATAATAAAGAGCTCTCACAAAGGCTACCATTAGACCTCGATTTAACACTCCAGAAGACTGTCACAGAACTCAGTCAGTGTTATTTAAGCAGCAACAAAGAGAAATAGAAGCAATTCCAAACGCTATCAGGCATCAACTAATGTGGATGCAATGCACAGTCAAGAAACTACAACAAAAAATAAAAATAAACAGAAGTGATTTGAATAATGAACAAAGAGACTGCTCCCACCAGCACTCACAGCAACAACCAAGTGGGAAAGGGCTA